GGGGGGGGGCCCCCCCCCTTACCCCCGCCCTACCCCCGCCCCATCCACTCCCTCCCACGTCCCACCCCCTGACTGCCCCCCTCAGAACACCCAACCCCCCGTCCTTCTTGTCCCCTGACTGCCCCCTCCTGAGAACCCCCCACCCTAACTGCCCCCATAGGACCCTACCTGTCCCATGGGTGGCAGGTTTGTAGAAATTTTGGTGGTGCCAGAACCCGCCCCTCCCACCTGCCTAAGGCTCTAGGAGGGGGGTTGGGTGGGGGGGGAGGTCTGGGATGCAGGTCCCGGGCTGGGGATTAGGGTGCAGGAGGGGTGCAGGGTGCAGGCTCTGGGATAGAGTTTGGGTGCTGGGTGCAGGCTCTGGGCTGGGGCGGGGGATGGGTGTGCAGGAGGGGGTGAGGGGGGCAGGCTCTGGGATGGAGTTGGGGGTGGGAGGCGGTGCAAAGGGAGGGGGTGCAGCCTTTGGGAGGGAGTTTGAGGGCAGGAGGGGGGGTGTGGGAAGGGGGAGGGGGTTGGGGAGGGAGTTTGGGTATAGGAGGGGGTGCAGGGGTGAGGGCTGTGGGTCTGAGGAGGAGGGGTTCATGATGCAGGAGGGGGCTCAGGGCTGGGGCAGAGGATTAGGGTGCGGGGGGATGAGGGCTGGGGCTGGGGCGGAGGGGTTTGGGGCATTGGAGAGGCTCAGGGCTAGGGTGGAAGGGCAGGGTAAGGGTAGCCTGCCTTGCCATTACTGGTGGGGGGCACTAGGACCCTGGGGCAGCAGACAGCAGTTGCTGCCCGGAGCAGACAGCACAAGCAGGCAGGGGAGAGGGGCACGCTGCTTTCTTTCGGCCAGGGATAGGGAGGGGACCGACGGGGGGAGGACGCGCAGAGGGGGGGTGGCAGGTGGAGGCCAGGGCCCGCTCCAGGCAGGGCCGGGGGAGAGACCCAGCTCCAAATATTGCTGGAGCAGGGCCCCCGGCCCTGGATCTTGCTGGAGCTCGGGCACCACAAAAGAATATAACCCGCCGCCCCCACACCCCATATTCACACCCCCACCCCCAGACAGGCCCATCCAACCCTCCCCCTGCTCCCTGACTGCCCCCCGGGACTCCCCTTACCAGGCCCAGGCCAGTCAGATGCTGGCTCCACGTGTAGGCAAAACACGCTGCCGGTGGGGCTGTTTGTGTCATTACACCCGGCTGCAGGCAGCAGGCAGCAGGGGAGGGGAGCAGGGGAGGGGCTCTGGCTGCTGGAGGCCAATGGGAGGGGCTCAATCAGGCCCAGCCGCCCAATCACCACGCCGCACTCTGCATGGAAGGGAGGGGAGGGGGGAAAATCCCGGACCTTTTAACCTTGTTACCAATTCCTCCCGGACGGCTATTTAAAGACGCAAACGCCGGACATGTCCGGGGAAATACGGACGGATGGTAACCCTAGTCTGGGGTCTTTCCCCTGTAGGGGGCCCCAGCTCTGATCCAACCGCTGGTGACTCAGTAGCAGCATTACCTTGAGCTGATGGAGCTGCTCCATTAGATGGCAGGAGTAGCAGAGCTGTTATCCCCAAGCGGGAGCTGAAGGAGTTGCTCCATTAGCCAGCAGCAGTGGTAGGGCTCTTATCCTACCTGCGTATCTCGCACTACGGAGGTGACGCCCTTAGCCGGTGTGTTTGTGGCGATATAAGGGGGCTCCAGAATGCCAGGCGCTGTGATGATCATCAAGGCTAAAATTGGGGCGGAGGAGGAGTTGTATTTAGGAGACAGCGTTGCCTAGTGGATAGAGCACTGGCCTGAGACACAGGACACCTGGGTTCTCTTTGTGGCTCTTCGACCTGCCTGCTGGGTGACCTTGGCCAAGTCACTTCCCCGCCTGGTGCCTCAGTTTCCCAAGCCGTGCCTTGAGCTCTGCTGATGTAGAGCTCCCGTCAGAGCCGGGCGTTGTCATTATTGTTTTTCACCCTAGGGTGACCCGGACGAGGTCCACTACTCGGCCATCCAGTTGCAGCCTCCCCCCCGGAGAGCGGAGCCTACTGCCGACCTCACCTGCGAATACGCTGCTATTAAGCGCTAGCATCCAGCTGCGGCTCCCCCCACACCTGCCAGCTGCACACGCTTGCTGCTAGCGCCGGCTTCTCGGCTCGGGATCCCACGAGGCAGCGGAGGGGCAATGGGGAGACACGAGACAAACAGATTTCCAAGGCCAGAAGGGGCCAGTTTGATCAGCTGGTCTGACCTGGGCCAGAGCCGACCCCCCACATTCAGGGATGAACTCCCTTGGAATCCTGCATTCCAGACGCACAGAGATCACTTGGGGAGGGGTCAGAGAAGAGCCAGGAGAATAACTCAGGGATGGGAAGACAGGCCTGAGTCAGACTCCAGGTACTCCGTCTATCCAGCGTCACCCGGAGAAGGGTGAGGGGTGACTCAGTCCCCTCGAGAAATATCCCCCCGGGGACAGAAATCTGGTGAGAGCAGCCCCTCAATCTAGCAGGCCAAGATCCAGGGAAGTTGAATCTCAACAAATTTAGACTGGAAATAAGGTGGGAATTTAAACCAGGGAGGGGAATTAACTCTGAGAACAATTTACCCAGGGCTGGGGCGGGTTCTCCGTCAGGGAGGCCACTCATCCGGTTTTCACCTGCACAGTCTGGGTTTCAGCTTGTGTGTCCGGGTGCCATGTGACAACCCTGATGTCCATTTTTTTTTATCTGGCAGTGGAAGAGGTGGAGCAGGGGCAGAGACTTGAGGGAAGAGGCGGAGCAGGGGCGTGGCTTTGGGGGAAGAGACAGGTCAGGGGCGGGACCTTAGGCGGAAGAGGTGGAGCAGGGATGAGGCCTGGGGGCAGAGACTAAGAAGGGGGCGGGGCCTCGAGGGAAGAGGCAGAGCAGGGGGTGGGGCTTTGGGGGTCCAGTTACCAGCCATTAGAAAGGTGGAAACCCTGTTCTCCACTGGTGGCAATTCTGCCGTCGAGATGGGAGGTTTTGCTCAAAGGGCGGCTCTAGTTCAGCCAGTGATGAATTCAGGGCAGCCCCACGGCCTGGGCGACACACGAGGCCAGGCTGGGTGATCTCCCCGCCCCCAGCTGAGCTGAGAATCTGGGAATTAGGCTCCAAATTCAGACGTTTGCTTAGATTTCGATTCTTAGAGGTGCCCCCGTAAATGGGGCATTCAAGGGGGCGGCACAGGGATCGGAGGGCAGAGGGAGGCTCTAAAGCCCAGCTCCAGGAAGGGATTTCGGTGCCTAACTCCTCTGGGGCTTCACCCCCGCGGAAGGGCTGTTTCTGTCACTTCCCATTGACTCAACAGACATTCTAGGCTTCAGCGCGACGCAGACACAGCGCGGCTCTGCTGGACTCACACTATAAAGCTTTAGAACTAAAACACAAAGCGACGACTGTCTCGTTGTAGCCGCGTGGCGCCGGGCCGGGAGAGAGACAAGGTGGGTGATGGAATCTATTTTATCGGACCAACTAGTGTTGGTGGAAGATTTCCATTTTGGAGCGTCTCCGTCGGTCTGGAGAAGGAAACCAGGAGATTCCAGGCCCAGGTGAGACAGTCTCTCACGGCTTGTTTCTCACATTGCTCAGGAAGTCGATGTGGCTGTTCTGTTTGGTGCCTTCCTTTGCCCCGTTGGGAAGTTTCCATTTTCAATGGGAAAGTTCTGAGGCCACAGTCAAGCACGACACCTCATTCCCTCCACCGACAGATGTGGGCCCAGTAAAAGATCTCACCTCCCCCGGCCTCGTCTCGCTTAAACACCAACCGGCAACATTGCGTGTTGAAATCTATAAGGTAAATAGCTGTCAATCGAACCGTAGCTGTAATTTTCCATGATTATTGATGGAAATGTTTTGTTCAGGGGGTGGGATATGGTGAAATTGACATTTACCGCCATTGACTGATGAAAAAAATCAAATTCTTCCAAGCCTGCATGTATTTAGTCCATGCCAAGTGTCAGTGAGAGACCAGCCTTATAACCAATAACCGCCCTTATTCTAAGCTAATGCACCAATTTCCTTGTGGTCGATTCTAGGTCCAGTTGCCAAACCTCTTACCGAACAGTTGTTCACATAGTACGTTCGCTTAGTACGTCCACAGGCTTGGAGGATTTGTTTTTTAGCGGTAAACATCAATTTCACCCAACTCATACCAACCACCAAAACATATTTCCCTTGGTAATAATTGACATCAGCAGATGGGCCAAGTAAGAAAACTGTGGCTTGAGAAGCTAGTGTTTGATTTAAGGATATTGAGTTGGTTATTTTGACCGGGGGAGTATAGGTAAGATTTTGTCCCGGTGGTTTTGCTCACTGGTTTTGATACACGATTGATTCTTATAATAGTGATTCTTATAAATGGAGTGCACTGTATATCTATCAAATCTGTATAGGCCGCACCTATATATCCATATAGCCACATATGTGTCGCTCTGCATTGGAGTTAGAGAAGACAGGGCCCAGAAATGACCCGGCTCTAGGAGCAGAAGGTGGGGAATAGAAACAAGTGAACGTGTTCACACAAAACATTTTGTGATCATGAAACACAGGTTCGGAGCCATCAAAACATCGTGCGATTTCAGGTGGGTTTTGCCAAATGGTTTCAGTAGAAGATAATATTAGGCTTAAGCCCGCGCTGAGCCGTGACGTTAGACTGAGGCCTGGATCCTGTAGTAGGTCCAGACACTGGGCGGTAATGGGTCCGATGGCAGGATCGGGGCCAAAGTGTGTCCTCCTGGCTCGGGGTTAAAATGCTGAGCTGTGAATCCTGAAGGCGAGTGAGGGATCGCAATGCTAAGAGAGCCCTGGGGTGGGTAATATTGGGCAGCGTGTACTCTCCGGGCCGTGCAGTCTGCAGGACTAGAGGGTTTGGTTAATCAATCCACACATCTCAAGGGACTGTTCTGCACGGCCAGTTTGCCCTCGTGCCCAGCCCGGGCCAGAGAACCTCCCCCAGGGAACCCTGCACCCAGCCCAGATCTGGAGGTGGGGAGGGTCAAGCTAGAGCACCATTAACTCCACCCCTTTGCATGTGTGCACTTAACTCTGCCCCCTTTTGTAGATTTCCAGCCCAGATCTGGGGGTCGATCTAGAGCTGGGCTTTTAGTGAGACCACCCGATCACCATGGAAGGACTCAAAGGTTTGGAGAATCTGCCCCCTCCCTGGGGTAGTTGTTATGAGGGTCAAGTCCTCTTCTTGGGGAGAACCTGCCCCTTATTTCCAGTCAGGATTTGTTTGGCTTCATCCCCCAGCCAGCGGCGCTCGCTTTGCCTTTGTGGGGTGGGTTAAACAGCCTCTGCTCCCCGAAATCCCCTCCCCAGAGAGGTGCTGATAGCCCCA